GTCCAATTATGACGAGTTTCATAACTGGGTCAGGTATATACACATAAAAAGAAGTTGCCTAATTATTGGCGAAATATTATGAGTACTAGTATAAATTATCACCATAAAGTGCAAGTTAGTTAACCAAATTTAGTCACTTAATTTTTAAAAATTATATCTTACAATTAAGGCATTCAAGTAAAGCATAACGCAATCATAGCCAACCGAAATGCATAATATCCGTGAGGCTTTGAAGAAGCAGATATCGTATGATATCTTACCCACCTGTGGCAATATGGACGGCCGCAGGCCGAGGTAGCTCCAGCAAAAGCTTTGACAGCTCGGCTGAATCCTGTTGATCCATTTCTTTGGATTTCGCTTTTCCAACTTCAAGATAGTAGGCAATTGTATCCTCAGGATCCAGTATAAAATCAAGGTGGTGTGTAGAATACATTTTCTTTCGAAAAGAATGGAGGTAAAAAGTCAGAGGCGAAGAATGAAGTGAAAATTAGCCAAACGAGTCTTACCTTACAGGAAGCACAAGCACAAAGAGAAGAGCGCCACCCAGAAGGCCAAAATAAGGCTTGGCATAAATCATCTATGCAAATTTTTGGCTCTCCTGAATTAGTTAATTCGATTCCTACGGATTCAGCTTTTGCTTTTAATCTGCAGGATATATTAGAACCAGAGCAAATATTTTCCAGTTTGCCTTTCTTTGCAGATGGTTCATTATTTGGCTCTTGGCAAAATCCATTTTTACTGCTTTCAGTGTTAGATGTAAAAAAACTATGATAAATTGATAAGAATGGATGGGCTTTGCAGCACGAAGGACACGTAAGCTCCTCGTAATCAGACGGAATACTTGCACCTGACGGCATGTTAAGATGCTAAAGAAATCATATAAACCTGTTCTTACCTTGTCGTGAAACCAATCTTCGCACAGTCCACATTGGATCATCTCCTCAGGGCTCTACTATGATAAGGTTAATTTAGACTCAACCTCGTCTTCCTCGTCTGGATACGGTTTGTGACAAGTACAGTAAAGGCCAGAAAAGTTTTGGCCGTATACGTTTTTTAAATTAAGTGCATCTTTTTCCTCTAATAATAAGCATTTGAAGCCACTTTCAAACTTTGTGTTCCCGCAGTCACAACAGAAATTACGTTTAGTGTAAAGTTCTAAGATATCATGGCTCCCGTGGCAATTCATAGCACATTGATAGCATATACCGACTGGTGTTTTAGACACATCCAAACAAGTTTTGCATGTATATATAGCTTGTCTTTTTAAATAACCCTGGAAAAATATGACTAAGTTAGGTTACTCTTGAGTAGCTACATGTTGCCTGACCATCGATTCCACCCATAACAACGGCTTCTTCTTCATCAATGGCATC